TTATACCTTGGTCTTGCCTATTTCTTCAAGAAGAGATTTTATATTCACATTCTGTTATCTGAGAGTCTGGAGCCCTGAGATTAACCTGATTAGCCCACTATTTTATGTAAATCATTGTCTTATTTTCTCTCGGTAGCTTTTTGTGGAGATAGTATCCTTGCTATAGTAAAGTTAGGTTTAATTTCTGGTGGTTGATTCAGCAATTGCTCTAATTAAATTTTTTTCTCCCAGCATTCCAAAGGCTATGAGAATGGTACGAACAGATTTAGACTCCAGAAGCAAATCCTAAACAGCGAAAAGAACAAGCCTCTGGTAAGTTAGCGTGACTTCCACCCCCTAGAAGGTCAGAGCGGCAGGAAAAGTCCTTCGGGCCACATCGGCCGTCTGTCCCTCTGCCTTGGTGACATGTGTCACAGATATCTAGGGTCTTAAAAATATTGAGTCTCATTGCATTTCTTCAGAAAATTTTGAGTTTGCCCTTATTAACTTTCTTTGGCTAGCAAGAGAACTTATTTTATGTTTTGTAATGAAATTTGAAAGTGATTCATTCATATAACAACTATTTGCCACTTTCAGTGTCCCAAGCACTGTTCCAGGTTGGTGGGGGTCGGGCAGCAGGTACAGACAGAAAACGAGCAGAGATGATTGCCACGTGGCACCAAGTGCCAAGAAGACAGGGTGAGCGGGCGCTATTTCCAGCGTGGTCTCTGCGGAGGCTTCCCTAAGCAGGCGACGTCGGAGCTGAGCTGTGAAGGAAGGGAGGGGAGCGTGCGGGTGCCGGGCAGAGGAACGCGCAGTGGCGGGGTGTAGGAGATGCACGCAGAATTGACGTCATAGGCCAAGAACAGGTGAGGGAGCACCAGACAACATAGAGCCATCTTCCACCCTCCTCTGTTGGACAGATGAGGAAATCAAGGCACAGAGATGCCTTGTCGTCTGCAGTAGTGGGGAGGCCACCGTACAGGCCCAGCATCTCCGGCTGATACCTGCCCACCCATTGCCGCCACACTCTCCC